AAATAAATAAAATCTTTAAAAAAAAAAAAAAAGAATAGGACAGTTTCATAGGGTCAGAGCTTATACTGGGGGTGCTCCACAGTTTTGGGAATAGACAGTAGTTTATACGTATACAGGCATACCTCATTTAATTGCAATTCACTTGATTGTGCTCAGCAGATACTGCAGTTTTCACAGATTGAAGGTCTGTGGCAACCCTATGTCGGGCAAGTCTATCAGCGCCACTTTTTCCAAGAACATACACTCATTTTGTGTCTGTGTGTCACATTTTGGTAATTCTGGCAATATTTTAAACTTTGTGTTGTTGTATTTGTTATGGTGACCTATGATCAGTGATTATGACTTGCTGAAAGCTCAGATGATAGCATTTTTTAGCAATATTTTTAAAGTAAGGTATGTACACTGTTTTTTGGAGATACAATGCTACTGCATACTTACCAGACTATAATATACTGTAAACATAACTTATATATATACTAGGAAACCAAAAAATTCCTGTAACTCACTTTATTGTGGTATTTACTTTATTGGGGTGGTCCGGAATGGAATGCACAGTCTCCAAGGTATGCCTGTATCTGTATATGTATGTATATACATAAAAAGAATATATATACACAAAACTATTTCTACAGGTACAGATATATATGTGCAGAAGCCTTTAAAATGGTCTGGAAGAATACATCCAAGTCGCTATCAGTGGTTATGAGACAGACTCAGGTACAGAGCTAAAAGGGAATTTTTGCTTTATCTGCACCGGATAAATTTTTTAGGATGACAATGTATTCATATGTGTATTTCTATGACTTAAATTTTTATTTTAAGAAAAAGAAAATGTATTTATTAAAATGGAAATTTATTCATTTTTTCAACAAATATTTACCAGAAACCTATGTGTTTGGCCCTGTAAAAAGGTTAGAGAGATGTCAGTGAAGCAGGACAAAGCCCTGAAGGAGCCATGGAAGGAAAGAGCATGCCAAGCAGAGGGAAAAGCCAGCCCAGAGGCTGGCAGTGAGAGCACAGGAGCTGATTCCAAGAACAGCTAGGGGACCGAGAAAGCAGAGGCCAGAGAAGCAAGGGAGCAAACAAGAGAGGGCAGCAGGACATAAGCCACACACCACCTACCACTCCCAGACCGCTCTGGGAGCATCTCGTGCCTGCAGCCCTAAAGGAACTATGGTATTTACCAGGGACCCTACTCCTCTGGGGGCGATAACACATGAAGGCAATGCTGGTGGAATATTACTCAGTCATAAAAAGGAATGAAGTACTGATACATGCTATAATTTAGATAACTTTGAAAATATACCAAGTAAAAGAAGTCAAACATAAAAGGCCACATATTGGGAGGTGGGTGGGGGGAAGGGGCAATTGGGTAATGGGCATTAAGGAGGGCACTTGATGTAATGAGCACTGGGCGTTACATGCAACTGATGAATCACTAAATTCTAGCCCAGTAACTAATAATACAGTATATGTTAACTAAATTGAGTTGAAATAAAAAAAAATTTTTTAAGGAAAAAAAAAGCCACATAATTAAATGTATTAAATGCTTCCATTTGTATAGAATGGTCAGAACAGGCAAGTCCACTGAGACAAAGATAGATTAGTGAGGCTGCCAAGGGCTAGAGGGAAAGAGTAATGGGAAGGGACTACTACTGTATACAGAGTTTCTTATGGGAACATTGAAACATTCTAAAACTAGATTGCCATGACAGTCCTACAACTCTGAATAAAAACCATTCAACTGTATTGTACACCTGAAACTAGTATAACATTCTATATCAACTATACTTCATCAATTAAAAAAAAACCACTCTGTACTACTATACACTTTAAATGAGTGAATTTTATGGTATATGAAATATATCTTGATCAAGCTATAAAAAAATAAAGTCATCTTAAGAACACAACTGTGCTTTTAAAATAACATTATTTCTTGGGGCGCCTGGGAGGTGCAGTTGGTTAAACATCTGACTTTTGGTTTCAGCTCAGGTCATGGTCTCAGGGTTGTGGGATCGAGCCTCACCTTGGGCTCTGCACTTATCGCAGAGTCTGCTTGTCCCTTTCCCTCCCCTTCTGCCCCTCCCCCTGCTCTAAGTTAAATAAATAAAAATCTTTTTTTTTTTTTAAGAACAAAATTCACATTTTATTTAGGTTGAAATAAACTATACAAAATTGATTTTCTTCACCAAAAATAACAGCAATATTTTCTGCATTATTCCTAGATAAACCACAAAACACTTATTTTTGTAGGTTTTCTAGGTTTTGTTTATAAATCAAGACGAGGCAGTAGATACAGTCATGGAAAAAGACAGAGGAAAACAGACAAATCGGTTGTCAGTATCCATGGGCTCTGATCCTGTCTTGACCATGAACAGAGGTGTTCAACATATACCTGCTAAAAAGCTTACGAAGACTAGGTGTTCTACATACACTTGCTAAAGAGCTTATGAAGATGTAGGCTCAACAAAGGAATGTAAACAGCAACAATCCAATGTGGAACAACAATGGCAGGCTCTCCCATTCAAACTTTAACTGTAACTTGTTCCTTTAAGTTTATTTAATAAAGACAAAATCTCTACTGCAATCCTTGCCTGGCAAGCTCACCTGTTTCTCTCTCTCTCTCTGGTAACTCCCTTAACTGTCCATTACAGATTTTTAACATACTAACACTCCTACTATTTAAAGGTCACTCTGAGCTTCATTGTAACATTTTATAAAATGTACTCCTTCCTCCCATACGTCTTCAAAATCTTTGTCTTCTAAGAACTGATAACTCAATACCAGACAATTGGATCCAGTGACAATAAATGTTTTATCTAAAATGACTTAACTAAAACAATTCCCAAGTGCCATTAGCAGAGATCCCACAGAAGTGTAATGTGGCACTTTCAATGCTATCTTCTGCAACAGGTATGTCTCCAAAGCATGAGAGTTTAAACAGGGGCCATTTAAACACGCAGATTGTCAATGGCTAATGTACTCAATGAGAGATCGACAGGTCAAGATATTCAGTGATTAAGTGGGGCCTACATACACCTGACAGCTTTTCTGTAAGATGTTTTCAAATTTCTTACAGATTTTTCCAAATATCAAACGTAAGAGAAAGCCTACTTTAAAAGTCTTTTAGGTATTTTCAATGGTTTCTGAGTTACTTGTAGGAAGCTCTGACTTAGTTGTATAGCGTTTGATATATGTGTCCACCATTAAATCCAGATCATGTTTTATATCAAAATTTATGTTAAGCAAAGCCAAGTTACTTGACCTTTGGTCTGTCAAAGTGTTCCTCAGGTATGCTTTGAGACGCTTTTGCCCATTTTCATAGCGTTCATTCTCAACCTTCATCACAGGAAGAATACATAGGACTTTCAGCAATGCATAAACATTAGGAAAAAACTTGATGTCTGGTAGATGCAGGGCTTCATAAATGGTGGATGGAAGCTCTATATCTTTCCTTCTGTGTTTCCACTTGATTCTCCAGCAATGCAGCTCAGCTGAGAGTGTGTGGGGGTTGGGCAAGTCACTTCTGTACATGTCAGCATGATGCTCGTCCGATGTATTAAATTTCAGCTGTCCCATGACAGAGGGTACAAGAGATAAGCATTTAAGAGCTTTGAGGTGCTGTTCTGAGAATATATCTTTCAGTTCCTGAATAATGTGTTCCACTGTTGGAACACTTAGAGTTTCTTTATAGTAACTCTCAGAAGTGAGCTGAGATTCCAGGTTACCTTGCTGGGCTCTGCGGAATTTCCCAGGGAGTTTCATCTGAACATCAAGCTTAGTTGCCAAATTTTTGGCTTCTTCGAACCAAAATTCATGATAAACTTCAATATTTTCCATCATTTCATTTAGTGAATGCAGCAGTGCAGTCAAGCTACTGGCTGCAAAGAAGACATCAGAGGTTTGCCCTTGAAGGTTTTTCCCAAAGGCTCTTGTAAAAGACAGAACATTTTTTTTTAATAAATTTTTATAAAAGACTTTATTTATTTATTTGACAGAGAGAGACACAGCGAGAGAGGGAACACAAGTAGGGGGAGTAGGAGAGGGAGAAGCAGGCTTCCCCGCGGAGCAGGGAGCCCAATGTGGGGCTCGATATGGGGCTCGATCCCAGCACCCTGGGATCACGACCCGAGCTGAAGGCAGACGCCCAATGACTGAGCCACCCAGGCGCTCCAAGACAGAACATTTTTAAGAACAACAATGGTAACGATGAAATCAAAATCTGTTACTGCACTACAGAGTACAAAAGCTCGACCAGCTATATAGTTATTCCATCTAATATTTGTATCACTATTTATACCATCTAAACATAAAACAAGTGCTTGTA